CAACACAGTTCTAATCAGTGTGATTATCCATTTTCCCAAGGGAAATGGATAATCACATTAGATTATCCATTAGAAAGAGCAGAGCAGAAATTAGAAACGATGAGGATATGATGTTAAAGCCAGGCCGGGTGAGGGCAGCAAGGAATATTGCGGAAGCATGCTGGTACTAGAAGTGACTGAAAATCTATTAAAAGTAGATACTGAAAAAAAAAAAAAGCCACCTGGGGCCATTTAATGTAGGGACTCACAGTTCTATCTAGCTTCAGAGTTTCTCAACATCAGAAGTGGCTAAAATGAGAAATTTTAGAGCCTAGGTCCATAAAGTGCAGCACACTGGCCCAACGGTGCTATGCAAGTAAAACTTTGTTTTCAAGCTTTTGCAAAGTTTGGCTTCACATTCTTACTTCTGAGCAGCGGAGCTCGACTACACTGATGCCTCCAGAATAAGGTATCATTACTGTGAGTAAACGTAGAGGCTTAGAGCAAATCACCGCTTCTGTACTCACTTGACACTTGCGAAAATGAGTTATCTGACGAAATGGAATACTCACCCTAATTCTGTTCTAAGTTAGGTTTTTTCTGAATTATTTCAGTTGAAAAGATAAAGGCATTACTAACTCAATGGTATTTTTTCTATTATGTGTATCTTCTGAAAACCTGCAATGGATCCCCAAATGCAAATGTTTAATTGATTTCAACTGGGTCTAAAGGGCTCAACCATAATTAGGGGAATGGGATTCCTCTGGCTTCACAGCATCAACTGGCTTATGTGACTGAATTCCAAGGCACTTGAAGATTTGTTTGCTAAACAGAATCAACTGAATAGTGGGCACTGTTCACATGCAATATTAAAGTTACTGAAATATATATACACACACACAGCATATAGATAATAGAGATAATCTCCTTAGAAGATTAACATTGTCCCCTAGATTTAAAGAATGTTTATAGCTTTGTGCTATTATTGCCAGTGCAGTTGAAAACCTTACATCCTACTAGAAATTACCTTTCTAAGCCATCTAGGTTTTCCAATAATAGTTCACCTCTTAGATATTTTGCAATATCTCAAACTATATTTTCAACATTAAGCATTCTATGTCATTAAATCAAAATGTATTCTTATGATGAACGCAACATGCTTTGCACAAACAGGTATAGTACAATCGATTGATTTTTCCAAAACGTCTTAAAATTGATGTCCTATCAAAGTGAATATAAGGCTACCAAATTACCATACTGAAGCTTGAAGACCAAAAACTACTATCTAGTTCTTTAACCATCTACGTGTCAGCTCACACAACAGAAAATACACTCAGAGGACCTCAGTTAAAATCAGTTCTGTAGCATTTCCATAACTGTTAACTGCTGACATTTTTCTCCCAAGAGACATTCAATTTCTATTGTCCAAATTCATTCATAAGTGATGGTCTGACTTTCTCTAAGCAAAATTAAAAGATTTATGAGAGCAATCACTCATGCCGTAGTGCACCACTACTTAATTCACAGACAGCCTTGCTTCAGAGAAACTCTGCCGGGCTCTTCCACACATAGGTTATCTCACCCCTAGCAGACAAGGCCATTTTTGTGTTATCAGCGTCTTTCGTTTACTCATTAACAGAGAATAACAAGACGTCTTAAAACTCAAGGTAAAACCTATAAACTGGGAGATTTGAAATGCAGGTTCTCTTGTGGGAAATATTCGTTAGGATTGCAGGTGCCGCGTGATCTACATTCACCAAAAACATCCACTGGAAATAGGTTACAAACTCCTGTGCTTCTTTGTCCAGCGGGATATGAAGGCTTGAAAAGGTCGTCTTAAATGACTCATATGCCAGAGTTTCCCCGAATTAACCAAATAATCCCACCCACCAAAAACTCAAATTTTCAACCCATACCCCTGAAGAAGTACATTATCAGATAGCCTTGGTCTGGGGTTGAGAGGGGTGACGTTTTCCAGTACCTGCTGGCGTCAGTCCTTCTCAGTCCTGGAGTTCAGCAAAGGAAAGGAAGAACTTTCTTCTTCGGAGGACGCTTGGGTGTTTGAGAGCTTCCCTCACACCAGCCCATCTTATCCAACAACCACGCACCTCGGCCAATGGTTTCCACCTGGTCTGCTCATTAGAATCACCTGAAGGGCTCTTTTTACAACGTGCCCAGGCCCAGTACCAGACCAATTCAATGTGCATCTGAGTGTGGGATCCAGGCACCAGTGTTTTTTCAAAGTCAGCCCAGTGATTTTAGCCTGCAGCCAAGCTGAAAAACGCTGCTCTAGAGCAGTGATCTTGAATCAGAGTCCATTTTGCCCACTCCCTACCCCAGGAACATTTGGTAGCATCTGGAGACATTTTTAATTGTCACAACTGGGGGTTGCTTATGGGTAGAGCCCGGGATGCTGCTACACCTCCCAAAACGCACAAGACAGCCCCTCACAACTTTCACCTGCTTTTTGTTAATGCAGAAACATTCAAGGGCTCATCCAAAACACTCACCTCTCACACCAACCCCACACAGAAGGATTCTGTAAATGACTCAGCAAATTTGCAGTTTGGGATTTACCTTGCTGCTGGTTTTCCTATCTGTTTATAAGACAATAATTCAACCCAAGTGTGTGGGGATTTAAAAATATGAAAAAATCATGTCTCACTATCCATATCAAAAATTAATTTGTAACAGCAGGATAAACACAAGCTACCAGGGCCCAAGTTTACAGGCTGATGATCCGTAAACACCTCATCGTGCCTCTTCATTTTCCAATTAATTATTGAAATAAAAATGCAGCGCAGATGGACTACAAATACACTTTAGTGAGGATATCCACTGTCAGAAGATGTCACTTAAGAATGAGAAAACCCGAAGTAAACACAAGAATTAAACTACAGTGTCATTCTAAACAATGCATCTATGTTACATCAAATTTTTAACTGAATAAAATTGTTAAATTTTAAAAAACCATTTGCCTGACCATGAAATTTATCTGAACCCAGGCAATAAGATTCAATGATTAACGCCATCCCTATCTAGAGACAGACCTTACTTTATACAAAGAATTGCTTAAAAATTGCACCTAAAATCCCTTCTTATAAGTTAAATCACACATTAAATTAGAGAAGTTCTTTATTTAAGTAAGCCTTTTTGTAAGGAGAAGAACTGTTTTGTAAGTGAACCAGCTGCCCTTAAGTAATCTTTATTTTGGTTCAAGATAAAAAGTTTCCTCAAAATAGTGCACATTTACTTCTCATGCTCATTAAAAAGTAATCAAGAAGTGGAAAAGTCATTAACTTTACCTTCCTGTTAACACATTACCCCCTGAAGACAAGTTTCATGGCCGATGACACATCTTGTGATAGTAACACAACCAAAATATCTTTTTAAATGACTTTCATCTCTTGTGAGAACTGCACAGCCGAGGCTGCCCACAGCAGTCAGGGCAGCATCTCCTGGAAGGAGTGAGGGAAGGGTGCCATCAACAAAGTAAAAGCCCCAGCCAGCCCGGTGGCTTCAACACAACAGGTGAATTGGCTTCTCCCAGCTTTCACCTCCCGGCACGTAACAGAGAAAGCAACAGCATCCGATCTTTCCCATTCTTTCTAGTTCCATCTGTGCTTAAAACACTGGACGTATTAGAAGCCAAGCTTCAGGAGTCAATTTTCAGCTCTACGAGAAAACGATGAGGGTGAAATGGAATCCAACAGGTAAATCCCCAACTACAATATTGAAAATTTACCCCTTCGTGTCACTGCTAAAGTTGGCGGCCTCCAGCACTGCTCAGAGCTGACTGCACATAGCCTCCAGAGCAGCTTTCAAATAAAGTGAAAAACCCCAGATATTTTGGATGCAGAAACCCCACTTCATAAAACCAATCGTTTTAGTTGTAACTCGGCCACAGCTGACATAAAAAAAGACCCTCACAATTCTTTTAAGTTTTTTTTTTTCCTCTCTTGAGTTTCAAGTGGTTTCATAACAAAGATGCAGAAAAGTAAACCTCTTCCAAACGGTTTAGAGCTGCCTCAGCCAATGCAGTGGATGTTGCACTTTGGAAACCAAAGGAGTGTCCAAACACATCTGTACATTTAAAGGGGAATATTTAAACAACCAGAAAGATGACTCGCCATGTAAAAAGGCATGCTACTCAAGCATTGACATATATCCACTACCAACCGTAAAATAGATGGCTAGTGGGAAGCAGCCACATAGCACAGGGAGATCAGCTCGGTGCTTTGTGACCACCTAGAGGGGTGGGATAGGGAGGGTGGGAGGGAGACGCAAGAGGGAGGAGATATGGGGATATATGTATAGCTGATTCACTTTGTTATACAGCAGAAACTAACACACCATTGTAAAGCAATTATACTCCAATAAAGATATTTAAGAAAAGGGAAAGAAATCATCTGATGCATTTCAGATGCAAAGGAAAGTCACAGAGTCATGCTAAGGCCCCCAACACAATGGAGAACATCCTCAAGGAAAAGTAAGGCATATTTACAGGCATTCAGGCAACCCAGCGTCAAGCCTGTTTAAGGACACCCTAGTTCTTTTTTAATGTTATTGTTTTTCATAATAAATACTCATTTCTTTCTGCACATAAGCTATTAGCTGGACTCAAAAACCTTTGGTCACCTGTTCCAAGAGAGCCCTTGTAGGAAACTGCACACAAGCAGGAAAATGTTCAAGATAGAGAAATCTTAGATTGGTTCTATTTTTATCTTCAATGCCCACAAATCTCACCCTGACTACTCAGGGTCCCACGGAATTATCGTTCCTCTCCTTCCCCTGCCCCCTCCTCCCCAATATTCTCCAGGCTACCTGGTAACTGCATAAGATAGAACAAATGGAGGGGGAGACACACACATCATGATTTGGGGGCAAACGTGTGTTCCTCTCCCCAACCCGCCTCCGCCCTAGCGCCTGCAGTTTCTAACATGGCCGCAAAGCCTTGCATCATTCATAACTCTCTACCCAGTGGCCCCAGCAAAGCGGTTCCCCAGCACGTACTGACCCACCGTTCATGCCACTGTAGACATTCCGGTGATGGGGTGACAGATCCTCTTGAGCCTGCCTTCGGAGGGTGCCCTCCCTGCTGCCACCGCCGCCGCCGCCGCCGCCGCCGCCACCACCGCCGCCGCCACCGCCGCCACTGCTGCCTCCGCCCACGTGTTTGTGATCGGGGCTCCCCCCGTAATGCTGTTTGAGGTGCTCCGGGCTGGTGCCCCGGGCTCTGGGTAGCTGCTCCAGGCTCCCGCCGACGGCGTGTTTCTGAAGATGCTCAGGGCTCCCTCCACTGTGCCTGGCGTGCTCGGGGCTGCCCCCGGGCCTGTGCTTCTGTAAGTGCTCCGGGCTCCCGCTCAGCACGTGCTTGGGCAGCGTTTCGGGGCTGCTTCCCGCGTGCGGGTGCCTTTGCTGTTCGGGGCTGCCCTTGCACAAGGGTTTGTGGTGCTCGGGGCTGGGTCCTTTGAGGGCTTTGGGGTGATCTGGGGTCGCGGAGGCCCTGGACTTCTGCAGATGCTCAGGGCTGGCGCTCCTGTGCTTGGAGTGCTCCGGGCTGCCCTCGGCCCGGGGCTTCTGCAGGTGCTCCGGGCTGCCGCCGCTCGCGTGATGCTTGTGGTCCGGGCTGTCGGTGCTGCCTGTGCTGGAAGTGCTGCTGCCGTCGCCCACGTCCCGCACGTAGGGCGCCGTGGTGGCAGCAAGCTGGCAGAGGCTGGCCTGGCTGTCAATGGAGCAGCGGCTGCCCGCGCAGCCCGCGCCCTTCTCCTCGTCCAGCAGCACGCAGAGCTCCTTGAGCTCCATGTTCTCCTTCACCACCTCCTCCTGCTTCACCTCCAGCTCCTTCAGCTTCTGCAGGTATAAGGCCACTTCCTTGTGCATCACCCCAGCCGTGTAGCGGCCCAGTCTCTGCCACTCCCGGGACACCCTCTTGCCCTTCTGCCGGTCGTCATCCAGGAAACAGCAGAGGTCCCTCAGTTCCTGGTTGTCCTCCTGGAGTTTCTGGTTAATATCCTGAAAAGAGACACACAGCCATTCAAGCCAGGTATGCGTGGGAGGCGACACCATGCTCATACTTCTGGGAGCCAGGGAGCCTGGAATGGGTGAATTCTCTGTGATGATAGGGGAGGGAGGGAGAAGGTGAGAGGAAGCTACAGATGTGTAGCTGTCCAAAAAATTAACAATAATGGGTATTGATTCTGCTCCCTGCCCCATGCTTTACTTGCATTATCTCATCTACTTCTCACCAAACCCTCAGGGGATATTATGGTTCTTTTACAGACGGGGAAACGGGACCTCGCAAAGCTTCACTTGTCCAAGGTCATCCAGTCAGCCTTTAGGGAGCAGCTAGTTCATTAACAGGAAATCAGTAGGCTCCCTGCCCCACCTTCAAGGAAGAAAGATGGCTGCTTGTGATCTGTGAAAGGCTTAACAAGCTCTGAGGCAACAGGCCTTTCGTCAGCGCAAACGACAAACACTGCCTAGGTGTTCAGCCCACGACCCGGAGAAGCAGCCCCAACCCCTGCATGAGCGAGCAGCAAACTGTCCTCTGGTGGCGTTTCAGTCCTGCCCATCCAACCCTACTTGCCATCCTCCCTGCACGGCTCCCAGGCAGCTCACCTGGAGCTCAGGTTCTTGTGTGATATTCAAACTCCCCCCCTCCCCCCAAATCGCACCTCTCAGCAAATGTCACCTCCACCCATCCTGTCGCCCTTTTTAAGAACCTGTGGTTATGCCTGGCACCTCCTTCTCCCTCACCTCCCAGTTCCGAGCCAAACACGTCTCCTGAACTCTACCTCTGAAATTTACCTCATCACTCCCATGCTTCAACCCTTAAAAGGGTCTCACTGCCCTTAGGATAAAGTGCAAAATCCTTTAAGTCTCAAAAGGACCCCAATCCTCTTAACTGGCCTACTTCTCCAGCATGAACGGTGATTCATTCATGAATATTTAGTAAGCATCTATTATGTGCCAGGTACCTGTCCAGGTGCTAGGGACAGATCAGAGGACGCAGCAAAGCCCTTGCCATCCTATGGCTTTCATTCTGGTGGGGAAGACTAACAAAAAAGCAAGTATAGAACATAATGTCATAGAGTGAAAAGTGCTGGGAAAAGACCAAAGCAGGCTAAAAAATACTATCTTTTAAGAGAAGCCACCTCTGCAGAGAAAGAAAACATTTGAGCAAAGACCTGGGTGAAATAAAGGCGCAAACATTTGCTGGAAGATGATCCCAGGCAGAGCGAAAAGCAAGTGTAAAAGCCCCAAGACAGATGTGGCTCCAGTTGCAGCAAGGCCAGTGGGCCTAAGGCGGAGTGAGCAAGGGCGGGCAGCGCTGGGAAGGAGGTCTGGGAGGTGAGGTGCAAGTGGGTGGGCACCAGGGCTAGGTAGATAATGTGGCCTCATCAGCCACATGAAGGCCTTGCCAGCCACAGGAAGACTCTGGACTGTTGGCAAGCTGAGGATAGAGGACTAGACATGATGTGATTCATTCTGCACCATCATTCTGTGCAGAAAATAGACGGCTGGGGGATGGAAGGAGGCGGGTGACTGGAAGAGAGAGAGACAGGATAAGGTGGAAGCTGGAAGACCAGGTAGGAGGCTACAAGGTTAGTCCAGGGAGAGGGAGATGATGGTGGCGGCTACCCATGGTGGCAGTGGACAAGGTGAGACCATCCCTCCCCATCATGCACAGAGCCCCACCCATGCTGGCCTGGCCTCAGGGCCCAAGGGACAAGCCCTTCCGCTCTTTCACTCGGAAAGCTTCCCCCAGCCTCTACACAATCTTTGTTTCTCACTTTACGGCACTTCCCCATAGAAGCCATCCCTGACCACTAATCTATGCTCTGCGAGGAGCCCTTCCACTTCCCCTCTGTTGCATTACAACTTCTAATCACATATGGTTGAGTCTATCAGTCAAGTCTCCATCCTCACTAGACCAGAGTCATGAGAATGGAGACCCGTCTCTTCTGTTCACCGCTGTGCATCCTACTGTAGAAACCTGAAACCAAGGAATTCAGAATTAACTGTGAAATCCCCACTTAGTCTCCATTCACACATATAGTAAAGGGGGTAGCTGTTTCTTGAAGCACCATAGTTTGGTGGGGGGTGAAAAGGGGACAGCTACCTAAGATTTCCCTTACTCCACAAAGCCTGAAAATCTCTGGTCTTGTGACTGTCATCCAATCCAGACCTAGAGGTACTCAGAGAGGGGACTTGATTCTCCCAAACTCAGGTTGATTCCAACACTTCCCCCTGATATTGACTAGGAAATAAACCATAAAACAGCTGCCACCCTGGAATCTGCCAAGCTGGAATCTCCTGGCAGTCATGAGGCCTAACGTGGGAGCGATTCTCAAGGCCTGAGGAGAAAGAGGCTCTGTGCCGCTTAGTTTTCAACTCAATTCTAACTCTTAGCCTCACCAATCCTTGTGTCTAATGCCCATCTAGTCCTTTTGCTTCTCAGTGCCACTCTCTGACCTCAGGCCCGGCTGTTTCCAAAAGCCTCCAGCGGGCCTCCCTGCCTTGGTCTACCCCAACCCCTAACTTCCCTTGCTCACTCCAATCCAAGCTCTCTCTGGCCAGACTGATCATCAAAAACTCTCCCTGCAGGTAGTGTCTCTCCTGCCCCTAAACCCCCATTGCCTCCCCTTTGCCAAGGAAAATGAATAAACCCTTGCGCCAGGCCTACAAGGCTTTCTTCCTGCCTTTCTACCTTTAGCTCCCTCTAATTGTGAACCAGCTAATTATGAACCCTGATTAGGTCTAACTTTCCAACTAGAAAATACTATCTTCTGCCTTCTATAGACTTACCTAAGAGGACAGATTGCTCTGATAAGACTCCACCAGCCCTAGAACAGCATCTGGTGTGCAGCAGCTCCAGGCTTGAATGAATGACCAAAGTATCCCATTCACTGCTCGATGCCTGTAAGACACACTCCTTAGAGCACTCATTGGGCATCTTTTTCTTTCTTTCTTTCTTTTCTAATGTAGATTACCTTAGCTTCTGGAGGGCAGAGTACATTCCAATGTCTTTCTTTGCATAACTGACACACTTGACTTGGTGTGTTGCATACAATGAATGCTTAATATGTGTTTATGGACTGACCAGCCCTTTAAAGCGCTAGGCCTATGGCCAAAACAGGATACAGCTCTAGCTACTGAGAAAAGATTTCTTATTGTTGTTTTCAGCTAGCCCTGCTGTGTTGGAGTCTGTAGTAATAAGAGAATAAATTGTTCCTTGACACTGGTGCTTTATGGGAAATCAGAAGCTGTGGATATTCTGAGAAAATAATGCTGAACAAAATTAATCATTCTCAGCTTCACAGCTCATTGCAGCTCAATATCAAAAAAAACAAACAACCCAATCCAAAAATGGGCATAAGACCTAACCAGACATTTCTTCAAAGAAGATATACAGATTGCCACCAAACACATGAAAGGATACTCAACATCACTAATCATTAGAGAAATGCAAATCAAAACTACAATGTGGTATCACCTCACACTGGTCAGAATGGCCATCATCAAAAAATCTACACCAATAAATGCTGGAGAGGGTGTGGAGAAAAGGGAACCCTCTTGCACTGTTGGTGGGAATGTAAATTGATACAGCCGCTATGGAGAACAGTATGGAGGTTCCTTAAAAAACTAAAAATGGAACTACCATATGACCCAGCAATCCCACTACTGGGCATATACCCTGAGAAAACCATAATTCAAAAAGAGTCATGTACCACGATGTTCACTGCAGCACAATAGCCAGGACATGGAAGCAACCTAAGTGTCCATCGACAGATGAATGGATAAAGAAGATGTGGCACATATATACAATGGGATATTACTCAGCCATAAAAAGAAATGAAATTGTTATTTGTAGTGAGGTGGATGGACCTAGAATCCATCATACAGAGTGAAGTAGGTCAGAAAGAGAAAAACAAATACCGTATGCTAACACATATATATGGAATTTTAAAAAAAATGGTTCTGAAGAAACTAAGGGCAGGACAGGAATAAAGACGCAGATGTAGAGAATGGACTTGAGGACACGGGGAGGGGGAAGGGTAATCTGGGACAAAGTGAGAGAGTGGCATGGACATATATACACTACCAAATGTAAAACAGATAGCTAGGGGGAAGCAGCTGCATAGCACAGGGAGATTAGCTTGGTGCTTTGTGACCACCTAGAGGGGTGCGATAGGGAGGGTGGGAGGGAGACACAAGAGGGAGGGGATATGGGGATATATGTATACGTAGAGCTGATTCACTTTGTTATAATGCAGAAACTAACACACCATTGTAAAGCAATTATACTCCAATAAAGATGTTAGGGCTTCCCTGGTGGCGCAGTGGTTGAGAGTCCGCCTGCCGATGCCGGCGACACGGGTTCGTGCCCCGGTCCGGGAAAATCCCACATGCCGCAGAGCGGCTAGGCCCGTGAGCCATGGCCGCTGAGCCTGCGCATCCGGAGCCTGTGCTCCGCAACGGGAGAGGCCACAACAGTGAGAGGCCCGCGTACCGCAAAAATAAAAAAAAAAGATGTTAAAAGAAAAATCATTCTCGGCTTCAAAAATTCTTCCACATTTAGCTTAATCCTCCCATTTCATAGAAAGTTTGTCATGTTCTTCTTCATCTAACTGAATTTCCATGTGAAAATATCCCCTTTGAGTATCCTACAACTATTCCTGTTTTCTCCAGAACTGGGAAGTAAATAGGACTTGTGCCACCATGGGCTCCTTCCCAAATGGAGTGAAATATATACAGTTGACCCCTGAGCAAACTGGGGATTAGTGGTGCTGACACTTGGCCAAGTTGAAAAGCCATGTAACTTATAGTCGGACCTCCGTACACCAGATCCACAATCATGGATTCAACCACCAGCGGATAGTAGCACTGCAGTATTTAGTAGTGAAAATATCCCTGTAAAAGTGGACCTGTGCAGTTCAAACCTGTGTTTTCAAGTGTCAACTGTACTTCTCAGAACTCTAGTTGGGGTAGAAGGGGCGTGTATTAGCCCATTCAGTTTTATCACAGTTCCTTTTTTTCTGTTATTATTCTTGCAAATATTATTTACTCTCCAATTATGAGCTATTTCCTCTGCCTTCTAATGAACAGCTAAGCAACCAGCTTGATAATAACCTTGTGAGCTAGTTTTTTCAAATCTATCACTTTAAGACTTGGGCCGTCTTTTTCAAAACAGTGTCTTTTTTAACACTGCAGCAGGCTACTAGATGTTGCCCATCTGTCTAAAGGGGGCTTTTAAAAGATTAAATCCATAATCACCCGAAATTCATATCATCCCAAATTTCATACATAAGATTCTCAAGTACTATAACTGTGGTTAAAGAATTGTTTTAATTTGTTATTTTTCCATCATTGCAGGATGGGGAATTGGTGTGTTGGCGAGCGAGGAAGAAAATTAATGTACTGCAGATAAAAAATCCATAGAGATTGAATTGCCCCCAATTCCCGCCCCCGCCCCCAGAAAATTCCAGGCCAGAGCAGTCTGGGTGTTGGTATATGCTCAGAAGTGCACGAACATGGTTCTCAGGAATCCATCCCTTTCAACAGCAGCACCCTAACCGGAATCTCCTTTCTCCAACCCCTTTTAGGATGACACATTCTAACCAGAGAATGTCAACTAGCCAAAAGAAAAGAAAATCAGCTTCTTTGGAACATTTCATATCTGTGTGACCTTAAGAAAGCTATTTAACCTCACTGGGGTTTCTTCATCTGTGTATCATTTAATCTTCACACCTCAAGTGGAAATAATATCCCCATTTAGCAGATGAGAAAACGGAGGCTCAAAAAGGTTATTTGCCCAAGCTACCCAAATTGTCAGACTCCAAAACCTTTCTCTTTCCCACTCTGCACTACCTCCTAAATGTTTAAACACAAACAAGTCAGCCAGTGCTTGGACAGAGTCACAGGCCCCTCAAAGGAAAAGAACGATGCTCCCATTCCCCAATGTCCACAGCCACAGTACCACCTAGAAGCCTTGAAAATATTTAGATGCAATTTCAAAGGCAGCTCACAGAAAGAGGCATAAGAAAGAAAAGTGTTATGGCCTTAATTACCCTAAATTTACAGTCTTCAGCTGAGAGTCCCAAACCAACAGAGGCAAAAAAAAAAAAAAAAAGAAAGAAAATCCCTACCTTCCAATTAAATGAAAATAAATTTTAAATGTACTATCGTTATCTCCCATTTCCTCCCACCCCACCTCTTTCCTTTTCCCCCTTGGTATCCATACATTTGTTCTCTAAGTCTCACTATTGATACTATGTATAAAATAGACAACTGATGGGAACATACTGTATAGAGGAAACTCTACTTAATGCACTGTGGTGTCCTAAATGGGAGGGAAATCCAAAAGGGAGGGAATATATGTACACGTATGGCTGATCCATTTGGCTGTGCAGTAGAAACTAACACAACATTGTAAAGCAACTATACCCTAATAAAAATTAATAAAAAAATAAAGTGAAATGTACTATCACTTATTCAGTCAATCACATTTATGGATCACTATGGTGTCTAGGGAAGCTCTGAGCCGATATGTGGAAGGGAAGGAAGAAGGCTTGCCCCTCAGAGTTGGCCAGAGGCTTAGGAGGGGCCGCCATGTGGCTGCCCCAGGATGATGGGAATGAGGAGAAGGGGCTGCATCAGAAAGTAACCAACCCCCATCATTTCCGAACTTGATAAGGAAGTGGACTGGAAAGTCTTTTAATGCCAGGTCACGAATCTAGACCACAAGGAGACTCTTACTTGAGGTGTAACCGCTCTTATCTGGCCTGATAGGTACTTCCCTAAATGAGGTTACTGGAATGAAGACCCGGTCCTCCCCTCCCCCACACCACTCACACACAGACCCCCACAACCTAAAAGAACTTCCAAGTATTTCTAAGCTCTTATGTCAATGCTCCATACTATCAAAATCTCTAGGAAATTAATTACAAACTCTTCCAAGTTGCATTATAGTTCAAGCCATGAAAGAAGATTAAATTGGAGGGTTACGAACTATATTTGTGTCCAGCTTTGCCACGGAAACCCACATCCAGGAGATGCATGGCATTACGTACACTTACGCATCATCTCCTGGTGACAATAACTACCATTTTTCGCAGTCAAGTCCAGAATTAAACCTTCACCTAAATTATAATTTATTGTCACACCCCCCTAGGAGGTGGTTATTATGATTTGCATTTTATTGATGAGTAAAATAAGGCTCTGAGAAATTACCCAGGCTCACCCTCCTGGCCAAATGAGGATTCTAGATGCAGACCCACCTCTGAGATGATCTTCCCCCTACACCACCCTGCCTCTAATCCAAGAGTCTGGTACTTAATAGTCCGTTAGTAACGAATTAAGCCAAAGGAGAGAGTAAGGCTTGGGATTTTTCTAAGAGATCCTCCTAACTGCATCTGCTCTAGGGACTATATATGACAGTCAACTGGAGCCTCAGGGGAGGGCCTTCTCCACCTGCACTGGGCCCAGCACCCAGGTGAGCATCTAGCAGTTCTCCCCCTCCCACTCCCCTTTGCCCCAGAATCCGAGGGCTGGAGCCGCTGAGGCAATTAAGAAAGTGTCTACTGCCTGAGAAGTGGGGTGGGAGTGGAAAGGGGACAAGAACAGCATGTGCCTGCGGGAATTTGCTCCCCGAGGTCCCTGCAGCGATTTCGTTTGTGTCTGGCTTCCTATAAACAAAAAAAGAACAATGAGAGGAAGGCATACCAGGAGGCACCAGTGCAAGCGGTGAGGAGAGGAAGTTTTGCGGTACACTCGGGCAGGGCGGTTCCCCGCCACCCATCTGCTGCAGCCAGCCGGGCTGGCACATTTCTGGCACACTCAGAACACTCCAAGGGGAAAAGAAAGGTGGTGGGGGGTTGGGGTTTTATTGTTTTGTTTTTCTTTTGTTCTTTTTTTCCCCCTAAGAGCAAAGAGGGAGGATTGGCTCCAAAGGAAAGCATGACTGGATAGCACTTAAGGTACACTTTCAAAACCCTGTGCTTCCTAAACTGAGACCCTCTGCCCTTCCCCTCCCAGCTAGACGAAATTATAATCAAATTGGGGGTAAATGGGGCGGTCAGGCCACCCCAGACGACGCCAGACGACGCCAGCCGAACTCGAGGAAAAGGAAAGCATCGGAGCAGGTAGAAAACAGAATGTGAAAGAAGAGGTAAGCTCCTCTGCACCATGCGACATAGCCCAGTTACGAGGGTGGTGCCGCGGCTTCACCCTGGGCGCCCCGCCAGCACCACTTCCCTGCATCGGCGCCCTTTCCTCACCCTCTGCCCCACGGAAAAGTCGTGGCGCCAGAGCGGCCATATCGTATCACGGATCCCCAAGGGCAAAGATGCTCTGGACTCGCTCCTTCGCTCGTTTTTTCCCCTGCCTGGCCGTAACCCGGCTCCCCAAAGCACTGATTTTCCCGGCTTCCCGGAAAATTAAAGCTTCCGCGTACCCATCGCTCCCCTCCCAGCCTTTCAGCATCCTTGGCGCCCGCTCCTCCGGCCACGGAGGACCACGAGCTCGACGCTAGTGCGCCCCATAGGGGGAAGAGGAGGGAACCAAACGTCTACAAAGTTTGGAAAAGTTTCCAAAGGGCTGGGGAAGGGGAGCAGGGGATGCTGACAGGGAGAATGGCGGGGGAGATCACCTGTTGACGGAAGGGGGGAAAGTTTGCCTGGTCCCACCTCCCAAGGGCGCCCGGCGCCCGGCTCCCCGCCCCGCCGAGCCCGGCGCTCACCTTGAGCCCGCGGATCTCGCCGAGGTGCAGCTGCAGGCGACGGTTGACCTCGCGGATGAGGTTGCTGTGGTCCAGCATCGCGCTCACCTTCTCCGCCTCCGCGCGCCGCAGGCAGCGGATCAGCTCCTCCTTGCTCCACTGCAGCAGCTCCTCGTCCGACACTTTGGACAGGTCCTCCACGGCAGTGGCCGCAGACGGGCTGGCAGAGGTTGGGGGACAACTTTCCGCCGCCGCAGCCGCCGCCGATGAGCCTCCGGCCGCCTTCGACATGGTATCCGCGAGACGGCAGGTGCGAGTGGGTGGAAGAGGCAAAGCAACTCCCGAAGGCGCGGGCACGGCTGGGCCGCCTCCGCCCACACCCCAGTGCGCTCCAACGAGTCAGCTGCACCGCCCGGAGGCCACTGGGTTGGGGCGGCAGGGGTCGCGCTGGACCGCCATCCTACCTCGCCATCCCTGTGCGCGCGCCCGCGCACCCCCAGGGCCGGTCAGCCACCCGCGCGCTGCGGCCAAGGCACATCCCAACTCCGCGCAAGTCCATGGTGAGGGGCGCCGTGAAGCTGGCGCCGCCGCGGGAGACCCTAGGGGACCGCACCCCGGTTCCCCTGCCCTCTCTGCCGCCCTAATTCGAGCCTGTCGCCCCCCACACTCTGGCACACACGCACTCACACACGCTCACTTTCCTCCCCCTTGCCCAGCTGCAGCCCCCGCTTCTCTCCTCTCCTAGCCCCGCCGGGGAGCGCCGGGCTCCGCGGCACCTCGGGAGCTAATCCAGCGCCGCCGCCGCCGCTGCCCGAGGGACTGGCGCAGCCGGCCGGCTGCGCTCCTCCTGCAGCCTCTGCTGCGCCCGCTGCCGCTCCCAGGCTGCTGGGGGAAGCCTAGGATTTGCAGCGCCGAGTGGTGGGGGCGGGGGAGGGGGGCGTTTAAAGGCTGGACCGGCAAGAGGAGGAGCCTGAAGCCGGGGCAGCCCGCAGCCGGCCACACCTCCCGCGCGGGCTGCAAGCTGCTGCAGCCGCTCGCCCGCCCGCTGGGATCCCGAAGCGCGCTGTGCGCTGTCCCGCCGGGCAAGGCCGTGGGCGCGGCTTCTTCAGCGCCCGGGCGCGGGTCGGGGTGGGGTGGGAGGGGGAGAAGTATAAGAAGCTGTGACACTCGGTCTTTGGGAGGCGCGCGCGCGCCACCGTGTGGCAGAAGCAGCTCCCTCCGCCCCCTGCACGCCAGGCTCGTCACCGGGCAGGGGAAACAGCTGCGAGGTATTTTGAGAAATTGGGGTTCAGGAAAGATGCGTAGCAGGACCTGAAGGGTAACCGTCTGACTGTACTTTGGAGAATGGAAGAAGAGGTCGATGGCAAAAGCAAGGGGGGAGGGCTTTGGGGAAGGAACGTTTAAGAAAACCCCTATACTCTAAGAAGGGGAAAAAGAGGCTTCTGGGCAATACTCTTTAGGGACCATCCACCCCTACGCTCACCCAAGGCCTTTATCTTTTCTAAAAATCAACGACTTTGTAACGAAGCTTAAGGGGAGGTTCTGAATCTTTTCTATTTTTGTTTGCAAAACACCAAAGCCTTAATTAAGGGAAAAACAAAAACCTTCATCTCTTGCTTCCCGAAGCCTGGATTTTAAGGTCAGCACAGTCATCTCCCCTCTGAGCAAAGCACGGCCCCTTAGACAAGCTGAAATGCCAGCCAAGGAGATTTTCATTTTCCTCTGTGCCGCAGGCTGCCCTGTATTACTGCCTTGGCTGTTTATGATGGTAATTTCTGGAAGGGGTACTCTGTGTCCCTGAGTACTAACTTTGGGCTACAAGAGTCCCTTCCCCTCCCCAGTTCTACTCTCACACGAAGTCGCATGGAATCATCTCTGAGCTGAAAACGTGTTCTTTTGCCTGAAGAATTGGATGTATTTGGTCCTGGCATGTCACTTAGGTGAATCCTCTCCTCTCCAGGATGGAGACAGGGTCATGGAGACTGCAGGGATTTGCCCCCAGGGGGCTTCAGAAAACCGGAGTACAGAGGCAATCATCTCCATCCAGTAGGATGAGAATCTAAGTCAGAGACCCTTACCAGCTGGTCAGTGTGTGTCCCCTGATAAAGCTGCCACCTGGTAAGAAATGATCACTTGAGGACTTCTGAGACCAGACTTCCTGGACAGCCTGCAAGGTGGTATTGCCCTCTGACCTAGATGGCCTTCAAGTTCCCCTCAGCTTGACTACACTTCAGACAGGTTTCTTCCTGACCAAAGGTCCCTGACCTCCCTTTACGTAGAACATTTACTTTAGAAAACTTTCCATTGTCAATTCTTTCTCTGCACCCTTGAACTGTCGATCATCTCCCAGCTTCTCACCAGTTTTACCACCCAGGAATTCTTTCTCAAGGACCTGGGAGCCATCCCTTTGAAATGTGACCATCAAGGATGATGGTCCTTGGATCCAAGCATGATCGATCATCAGGGATGACATATCTCTCTGGGAGGGAGAAGCCTAACTTCAATAAGTACCAGTTAGCAGACAGATGGCCTCATCACATTGACCCATGGTCCCCCGCACCCAGCATCCTCTAGTACTGGTGACCGTTGAACAACAAGAGTTTGAACTGTGGGCGTCTGCTTATACATGGAGCTCCAGCCATCCATCTACATTTGAGGCAGGAAGAAGGTAGAAGCAAATGGCACAAGTTCTCCTGGTAATATGACCCAGTGAATCTCACTTATATCCTAATAGCCCGGGTTTGCCATCTGACCACCTCGCAGCTTCAAGTGAAGCTAGGTAATTTTTTTAAGTTAAGCATATCAATGCCACAAGTAAAATCAAAGTTGTTTTAATAAGAAATAAGAAAACAAATATTGGATAGGCAACTAACAATTTCATATGCAAACCTTAGCAGTGGACTCTGTATACAGTAAATGGAGGTAGCTCAAAACCAGCCATAAATGACTCTAAGTCATCAGGTCCTGACGGTTTTACCTCATTTGTTGTTTTGAACTAACTGTTCCATCACAGCTCACTAATCGTCCAACCCAGATTCTCACTAGGTCTCACCTGACCGTCCTCACGGGTCCCTCTGACTTCAGTATCACCTGTCTCGAATTTGGTTTCCACAGAACTGCCCAAGTGAACTACCTAAAAAGTCAAGTCCAGCTGCGTCCCCCCTAAGGTAGATTGAATCATTGTTCATAATTCTTCACAACCTCCCTGTATAATTCATACCATCTCTGCCATGCAACTTTGCAGTAGCTCCCACTGAGGGGGGCAGAGTTTATCCTCTCTTGATGATATTGTGCTTGGCCACAGGACTTGCTTTGCTACTGGAGAGTGGGTGCACCTGAGGGTGTAACCCTTCTCTGGTGAGAACTCACCCTCTTGTACTTCCACACTTCACGGGGAAAAGAGCTAAATTTGGGTGGCTGTTTTGGCTTCAGTCTGGGCCTCACACAGGGCCACCCTGAAGCACGGCCACCCTCCCCTCACAGACTCAGATCTGTGTGCAAGAATGTGTGATTGTTATTAGGCCACCGAGTTTGGGGGAGATTCATTGTGCAGCATGAATGCTATCGATAGCAGATACAACTCCCCTGCCTAAATCCCTTCAGTGGCATCTCAGTATCTCTCCACAGAGCAAAGCCACATTCCTTACCAGAGCACGGAAGACGGGCACAGTCTGCCCTTGCCTGCTTCTCCAGCCCCCCCCCCCACCCTACGTTGCCTCATATTTCATACTTATCCAGTGCCAAGCTGCCCGTAGCTCCCTATGGGCACTTTCTATACCTCTGTGCCCCACTGGTGCTGTTCTCTCAATGCCTTCCCTGCCTTTTTCCCCTGGACAACTCACAGTGTATCCTTCCATGGGCAACATCTCCTCCAGGTCTCTGGCAACAGCCCACACTTCTCCAGTGGAGGCAGAAGTGAGTATCCCTCTCCACTCCCATAACCTCCAGTGCATACCCCTAGCTCAGCATTTAAAATAGAATATCAAACTACAGAAAATTATAGGTAGAGACTCAGACTAACCCAGCTCAATCCTAGCAGAAAGTTTAGCTCCAGCCAGAATTTAATATTCTATCTTTTCTGTTTTCTCCAAACCCTACAGGCTCCCATCATGCCCTACAGAACTCCTCGGTGCAATGGGAGATGCTCTTGAGGACATTGCTGAGTACATCCCACAGCGCCTTGTCATGACACTGCACCCTAATCCATGAGGTTTCTTGGCAACTCATTAGTTTTAATCTTCCAAAGACTAAATTATGCAACTGGTGTGTATTCCTCTTTGCACTGGGTGCTGGGAAGTCAGATCCAAACTTGTGGCCCACATTCAGTTACTTAGACAAGACTTCAGGAGTATAATTTTTTTGACTAATTCTGACTTCCATCATGTTTTTACTTTCAAATTTCCTTCTCCAAATTTCCACATTTCTTTTTTACCTTGCTCTCTATGTATCTTTGTAAGTTACCGGATACATACATCTATAAGCACATATACGTGTGTACACACACACACACACGGCAATAAAGAAAGGAAGAGGGGGCTTCCCTGGTGGCGCAGTGGTTGAGAGTCTGCCTGCCATTGTAGGGGACACGAGTTCGTGCCCCGGTCCGGGAAGATCCCACATGCTGCGGACCGGCTAGGCCCGTGAGCCATGGCCGCTGAGCCTGCGCGTCCGGAGCCTGTGCTCCGCAACGGGAGAGGCCACAACAGTGAGAGGCCCGCATACCGCAAACAAAAAAATTGAAAAAAAAAACAAAAAAAAGAAAGGAAGAAAGGGACAAAAGGGAAAGAGAGGTCTTGTCTTCAATCATAGACCCTATATGTTTTCTCTCCCATTTACTTTGACGTCTTCTCCCTCTATTAGCCCCTAAATTCTGTGAAGACAAGGCCTACTTCCTACCTAGAGTCCGCACTCAATAAGGAAAGGAGAGGAGGGAGGGAACAAGTTTGCTAGAGGCTTTTGTTCAGAATTTTTTATCCCCCTGGTTTGGAATGCCTCTTCCTTTTAAAATATTAATTACTATTTGGTATTTGCTATCTTAGAAGTCAAAGGAGTGATCTGCAGTTTAGAAAAGTTTTCAAAATTGTTTAAACGTAGGGTAATATGGTGCTTTGATGAGCTCGTCTCAAATGGCCACAAAATGCACTCAGGTGACAGGTTTATTCTCTGATGATGCCAGAGTGAGTTATGGCACTGCATGAACAAGGCTGCGGCTCATCTCACTGTATCTGTGTTGTGTCAAGTAACACAAGCAGCCATTGAAACCTCCTATCTTGCTCCACCAAGAACCACTTTCCCAAACAACACTTCAAAACTCAGTGGAAGTGCAACGGATCTTGGCTTTGCTCCCTAATTCTGAGTCCAGAGCCAGAGAACACGGCCATGTGTGGAGCCACGAAGTAGCTGGGAATCCCAGCTCTGGTGAGGAACCTCTGGGGGTGGTGGATGTTACTGCTAGATGCCTCCAAAACATGTTTCCACTGCAAGCCACTGCGGAAGTGCTTTGCCTTGATCCAGCCCCACAAACGGAATATTTAGGAGCTTGCTAGGTTTTATTGCACTTTGTTCTACCAAGTACTAGGGCAGAAACTGCGAAAGGAAGAGAGGTCCAGCCAGCCTGACCCCCAGTGTTGAGATCTCTGGTGTCTTCTGGCTCAGGGGAGGGAACAGCTGCTCTGTGCTCCTCCCACACCTCCAGGCTCACAGCTGTGCTCTGTGAGTGGGGGAGGTGCGCATCTCAGTGAAGGCAGAGGGTACTTCAAGGAGCCCCTATTTTCTGTCGTTTGTAAAGGAAATGGGCATACCCATTTGTGGTAATTCCTGGACCTTTAGTGCTATTTTCACTATTAACCCTCCTCCGGGTCTCTA